GGGGGGGGGGGGGGGGGGGGGAGTCTTTCCAGGCCAACCCCAAGCCCAGCCCTTGATAATTGCCTTGGCCCAGGTCCAACCGTGGAAATAGGTCCATTATAATTTTTAATCTTAAACTATTGATGCATTTTAATAAACATTTATGATATAAAATAAGAAATAAAAATAATTATACATTTTAGATTTTAGATTTTTATTTAAAATAAATAAACAAATATATATATATATACATACACACACATATTTATACTTTTGAAGGCATATGTAATGCTTAAAATAAGGAATGCATACTTACCAGAAAAAGAAAAAAAAAAGGAATACATATCGCACAAATATTGAACTTATAGTTTACAAATTCAAAGGAAATGAATGAAAAATAGTATGACCGTGTTATTTTCAAATCGATTGATAGATAGCTTGATCGGTTCTGATAGATCGAAAGCGATATAGAGGGAATCAATTTTGAATAGGGGGAAATCTCCTATTTCAAGAGAATAGTCAGCTCATTCTTCCTTTCCAGCTAGCATAGTATGGTTTCTATATTTGAGCTACTGTTCAAGGCACTGTCTCGGAACAATGATGAGGCATTTTGGCTCATGCCAAGCCAACAGGACAAAAGTAAGCCCTAACCCTTCTTTTAGGTGGTCGCCTGCCCTACCCATGCCTGGCTGCCCACTCAGAATAACACATCACTCAAAATGGAAAAAGACAAAAGCTATATAGAGTAAGGACACTAGCAATACAGGAACTTGAGTAACAAGTATAATGGATAGTTTTCATGAGAGAACAAGGAATTATTTAAGAATTTTATCTCTGGTAACACAACAATAGGATGATTAGCAATGAATAGGGCAACTAACTAAGCATGAGAAATCCTAATCAGGCACATATGCCTAGAATATCAAGATATTTGATAATTTCTCTTCCATTTCAATGGGATATTAAATCAAGAAAAGGAATGTAGTCAGATCAGATGAACTATTAAAGCAGATATTGACTAGAATATGTTATACAGCAAGACAGTAAGCAAGGTGTNTATTAAATCAAGAAAAGGAATGTAGTCAGATCAGATGAACAATTAAAGCAGATATTGACTAGAATATGTTATACAGCAAGACAGTAAGCAAGGTGTTGCAAGATTGACATACGTTTTCGGGTCCGCCAATAGTGGGAAAACTTCCAAAGTGGGTACAAGATGGAGAACACCAACATTTAAATTACTTGCATCAGACCTCAGAGTATCTCCTTTGGATGATGGAGCTTCAAAGCCTCCAAGGCCAGTCGTTCCCGGTGGTGCCATTGGAACAGGAGCAATAATTTCACTTCCCTTCTGCACGAACTTCTCCATCCAAGATATCTGCAATTACATTTACGTAATTTGTACTGATACTTTTTTATAATGCTGCACCAGAACCCTACATGTAAAAAGTTATGACGACATATATGCTGTAAAAAGAGCAAAAGTTATATTCACTTAATTAAAATTCACTATAAGCAACCTTAAGGTTTCAAAGACTAGTATGAAACTCTCAAGCATTACCAACTTTTGGAATAAAAATAAGAAAGTGGGAGGATTTCATCTGGAAAATTTAGGACATTGCACATGTTCAAAATCTGATAAGCCAAATATCTCTTTCAATCATCCATAAAGATATAGTTCACTTATGTATATATATACACATGTAGAGCACCCAAAACAAAATTTATAAGATCGTGATTACCAATATAGTGTATACAAGAAAAAGTAAATTATGGGGACAATCTGTGGCAATCAATTAGCACAATAAACTTTTGTCACTAATGGATTATATATTGATTGACCAACTGCTTGTCATTTCCAGACAACTACCACCTCTGCACATTCATTGTTCAGCTTATATGGTTCTTAAGGTCATCGATGGACAGAATATTCCAATCTTTTCAGCTTTAGACCTCAGCTGGCTTGCCATATCAATTCTGCTGAATATATGCCTATTTGGTTGCTTTAAGAATCTATTCTCTCATAGGCCATGAGGCCCATGATTGCTACAAGTCAGAATAGGAATATAGATCAACTTGTCATCTATTGCAACTACCATTCTTGCAAGCCATTGTTCAACTTGTAATTTTCTTAAGGTCATTGATTAAAAGAATGGCCCAGTCTTTTCACAATAGACTTCAGCTGGTTTGCCTTAAAACCACTTCTGCTGAATATATGCCTATTTTATTGCCTCTAGAATCTATTGTATTAAAGGGAATGACTTTAAGTATTTCAAATACAACTAAAGCGACCTGGAACAAGATACACGTGAAAGCTAATAGATTTTCCAATATAGATAGACAATCAGACTTTTTTTACTAATATTGTGAAGTAAAANGAATATATGCCTATTTTATTGCCTCTAGAATCTATTGTATTAAAGGGAATGACTTTAAGTATTTCAAATACAACTAAAGCGACCTGGAACAAGATACACGTGAAAGCTAATAGATTTTCCAATATAGATAGACAATCAGACTTTTTTTACTAATATTGTGAAGTAAAAAATATATATATATATATATATATATATATTCCTTCTAGTACACAGATTCAAGGTTAAAATTGTGTACTTGCAGGTTCAAGTAAGAAAAACAAAAAGAAACAAAAGGAACAAATAATTTAAGCTCTACGACTTCAGTGAACTCCACAAAGCTTGAAGTCATGACTCTAAATTCTATATCTTGCATTTGGAAGAAATATATACAACTCATAGCATCTGAATGTCAATCATAATGCTAGAGAAAGGTACCGGCTCTTAGACATCTAGCTTCAGTAACGAATTACTCGAATAAAAGTAAGATAAATAAACACCAAGGAATTGGATTTAATTTTTGCTTGAATATAACATTCCCAGATTCATTTTTACAGAATCCAGAAAGAACTTTTAATTTCACCGGCACTTAAAAGAAATCTCTACATATTCTATATTCTGTGGTATACTAGTGTTTATTCAGGTTGTATTTTGAAAAAAGTGGCAAAGGATGTTGAGTCCTTAGTTTACGAAAGACTATTTCATCCCTCTCTGACAGAAGAAAGCAAGCTGTTGACACTCATCAGGAGCTTGCAATGTATCAGATTCAATCAGTTTCATATCAAGTTAAACTTGACAAACCTGTGGATGACCAGTTCGAAACGCCCAACCATGACCACTGCATTAATTATACATTCAGACTCAACGTGAAAGTAACTTGCCTTCTCATTCAAATCCCCCAGTGGTGGACCATGAATCTTTCCACCAGTGTATGGTGCACCCATCGGGAACCTTTCTACCAACTGATGTACCATCAGGTCATCCAGCCCATGCTTTTCATAACTCATAAATGCACCTAAAGCTCCCAAAAAACCTTCATGCCGCAAAAACATTGCTTGTGCATCTCCCTGTGACCTAACAAAGAATTAGAAGAAGAAGATGATGGCAATGAAGACAAATCTGAAAAAGAAAAAAGAGATGGAAAAGACCAGAGACAGAAAAATAAATTATTTCAGCTAGAACAATAAATTTTTGTAGTACCAAGGAAAACATTGTTACCAGAAATTAACTGCGAACGAGATTGTGTCCATCGTATAAGCGTGACCCCTTATAAAAAATCCTCCAAAAAATATCCGCTTAAGTCCAAATCGTAACGCATTAAGATATGCTATCTACAAAAGAGCAAGTGTAAATTGGATACACAGGCACCATGTAGTAGCCATTGAACAACAACCTCAATGCAAGTCATAAGGAAAACTCAAAGCAAGTGACAACAATGCAATAACAATTGTTATCTCAAAGAATTTTAAAGATTTCTTGGATTATGGCCCATCTTAAGTCAACAAGAATTTTGTTTGCGTTTGTAGAGCCTTCAACAGAAGGCATGCATTTACTATGGGCATAAAAGCATGAACTGCTGAACATTGTGATTTCAATTGCTAGACTCCAACCAAAATATTTAATGAAAGGATCCCACGTGCATCAACTCATAAGCACATACATTTGACAACATCAATGTGGTGCTGCCATTAATTTGCCCAAAAAAAGTTAGTCAATTCATGGACTGGGTTCGATGTTAAGTTCATCTGAAATTTTGTGGGGCAGTGTGTAATAAGAGTAAACTTGAAATTGTTTGCCATAAAAAAAGTTCCATTTTATGATAACAATTGGTTTTTCCCCAACAGAAACATGTCATTTTACTTTCCCATCATAGACCCAGTAAGCACGTGAACTTCAAAATACTCCTTTTACAAACTAAACTATACATACATTGTGTGTATACACATAACCATCCATTGTAAGATGAAGTTTCTGTGCTCATGCAACTTGCCTGCCCGATGTTATACGAAATCATGCGCAAGAGTGACAAAGAGATATCTTCAGGTCTGTAGTCTTCAAGATCCTTGTTCTCAGAAATAGCCTTGCCGAAACTAGAAGCAATCGTTGATGCAGAGAGACCAATCTGTGATGATTTGTAAGAATAAAGGATAGGTGCTAACTCTAACAGAATAACAGGAAGAAAAAAAAAAACAAACTAAGAAATGAATGAATGCCGGCACATACATCAAACAATCACTCAACAGCATCATTACAGGTCCAGAACCCTAATATGCGAACAAATGAAATAGATGGAATGCAAACCAAGACTACCATTTTACCTTTGAGTAATCCATACCACCATAAATGTCACCTACAAGCATGTCTACGGCTCTATTATCTCCCCGTTGACTTAGCTCCAACAGTTCATCAAAACTGACAAGGAAATAATTGGGAGAATGAACAAATTGTCGGTGCAGAAGATGTAATTCAGTACAGTATTGACCAGAAAATCAAAACCACCTCTTGCATTTTGTTAACAGCCTTCCTAAGCCCCAGTATGTACCACCGCCAACATTTGTCCCGCTAACCCGCTGGAACTTCCCATCCCCATCAACCTAAACCATGCAAGAATAGAAGCTTTAGTAAAAAGGTTTATACGGTGCCTAATCCCAAGTGAATAGTATATATAGCAAGAAACAAATTGTGTACCTTGAGCATACTGACACCGGACCCGATATTAACTAGAAGATACGGAAATAGCTCATTGTGGTCAATCTGCACAAACTCTTTATGACCTTCCATGTGTGTGAAAGCTTCATGACGAATTGCCTACACAAAGCACGGTCAGAAAATGAGATTCTCAGCAAAAAAAATAAACAAACTGGAGGATGTAATGCCACCTAACAACTCAAGCTTAAAATTTGAAGTGCATACAGATCTAGTACAGTTCTAAAACATTTGCACATGAGGAAATAAGTAATAAGGAAATGTTGACTAATGAAAGAAACAAGTTCACTAATACTATCTTGTGCAGTGTTACTAGGACACTGGGCTATCATAATTCTTCACAGTATGAATCTGTTAGAACAAATCAAGCCTTCAGTTAAACCTAGGTCAGATAAATCTAGAGCTCAATACCAATTCTGTGAATTGTTGAACAGTGTTACTTTTTTCACCACATCAGGTGAAAGGAAAAAAAAAGGAGACTACTTCTTTCAGTAGATATCAACAGGCATTTCTGAGAACAAGGACAAGAACAAAAGAGACCAAGACAATGTAGAGCATGAAGTCGACAAGAGCACATCATTTTTATCCTCAAGATCAAAAAATTGGCTAGATCAACTTAAGCTATCTCAGACAAACAAAAAGCACAGTACAGCTTAAAATTGGTGTTTGATCTGAATTGTTTTTCTTCATTTTGCCACGGCAGGGCAGGTGAAAACTGCACTTGTTAACTTAAGACCATTACTGGGAAAAAGGACAAGAACAAAAGAGACCAATATAACATAGAGTATATAATATCCATCAAATTACTAAATGATTCAAACACCAATCTCATTCTCTATCACCGATTCAAATTTTGATAATTCAACCTCAACAATTCTTAGGTAGAGATGCTTCTTTTATTTTACAACTTTGATAACTATAGAAACTGGCAGAGATCCGTGTGAATCCCTGCCCTGTGCATCTACAAGTTTCACGAAGAATACACATATACCTCTTATGCCCATGCATCCACATACAATAACGAGTTAACCCTGGTTCCTATTTAAGGCGATATTTATGTCGGTTCATGAATGATATCATATGTACAAGAGATACTTATCATGGAAAGAACACAAAAAATTGACATTTCATCAGCAGTAAGGCAATTAATAGATCCAAAACTGACATAATGTGCAACCACAAAGGTAACAATAAATGAAGTATAACATTTACTGGATAAAACTACATACACTAAGTGGAAGCTGGTTTCATTGCATATGCAATCACCAACTAATCAATTAGAAGAGAATACAAACTTGATTAGAATTGAGGAATGCACCTTGAGCAAAAAATTTGCTCCAGCCACAAGACAGTTCATTTCGTCTTCCTTCTCAATACTAACACCAAGCCTATCCTTAAAGAGATCTGCAAACTTGAATGCTCCGCCACCTGTAGCCTTCTCACAAGTTCTAACTGGTTAGTAGAAGTAAATGCATCAAGAGTGGGCCAATTTCCAATGACCAAAGCAGAAAGAGGATCCCTAGATATTAAATAATTATGTGGAAATTTGTATATCTTCAACCTATATTTTAATATCAGCACACTACCTATATCTACATCATCAATACCTCAGATTTTGTGAACTTATCATATGCTGCCTATCGAGAGCCATCTTCATTGTATATTTGGTGAGAATCACGAGGAGAAAACATGAGGTGGGGCTATCTACTTCATGCTAATGTGTGGAAAAGAAATCNCGCCACCTGTAGCCTTCTCACAAGTTCTAACTGGTTAGTAGAAGTAAATGCATCAAGAGTGGGCCAATTTCCAATGAGCAAAGCAGAAAGCGGATCCCTAGATATTAAATAATTATGCGGAAATTTGTATATCTTCAACCTATATTTTAATATCAGCACACTACCTATATCTACGTCATCAATACCTCAGATTTTGTGAACTTATCATATGCTGCCTATCGAGAGCCATCTTCATTGTATATTTGGTGAGAATCACGAGGAGAAAACATGAGGTGGGGCTATCTACTTCATGCTAATGTGTGGAAAAGAAATCAAAAAGTGAAAGAATCCATGAAGGTATTAATTGAGGCAGTGGAACAAAAAATTTACCTTAATTATGGCATTGTCATTTTTTGGAGCCTCAGAATTCCAACCATGTGAATCCATCCCTACCGAGCCAATGACAGGATTAGGAGCAGTATGTGACCAGAGTACTTAAAATCCTTTGGCACTGTGAATGATTCTCAACTACACAACCTTAAATGAGAAGTCAAAAATGTAATCTGACAATAGGTGCAGTTTACTCAATCAGCAACTAGCACGTGAACTTCAAATCAAGAGGGGAAAATAGTCATACCACCATGGTGAAGCTGCTTTGAAGAGATAAAATCTAAGCACTCATTGATCTTGGCCGTCTCAAACTTCACAAAATGAAGCCTCCCTCCCAAGATAGGGTAGCTTCTCCTGTTTCCATTTGAAACACCCAATCTCTCCTTTACTGTCCTCTTCCTCCTGTCATTGACTGACCGCTCCTCGTGTCTTGAAAAATATATCAACTTGATGAGAGATCCTGGCATAACACATTCAGAAATCAGAATAAGAAAGAGGCTGCCTATGTATAAAACTTTCTGTGGTTGTCTGAAAATCTAACATGGCAATAATAACTACAAATCAACGAGTAGGATAATAACAATAAAGAGGAGCATGACTATAAAATCAGGATAGATGTCGAGAACCTGGCATGATATTTACCATTCTGGTGGTCATTGTCAAGAGTTAAAGACTTTTAAGAATTCTACAATCACTACAATCATAGGAAAATGTCACTGTGGCTTCAATGTCACTTGAAAACCAGGCTATTCAGAAGGATTTGTGGAAGCCACATAGGGCACATTAAAATGGGAATTATTAGAAAAGAAAGAATTATAAGGCAATATGCATCCAGTTGACTAATTACAAGTTAACTACAGCAAGTTTTTACCCCAAAAAAAAAAAAAAAACTCCACTAATGATATGCTATTACCCAACATGTGATGTAATTCTTGCAGTTTTATATTTGTTTCAAAAAAACAGAAGGAACAGTAGTAGACACACTTTTGCAACAATACCATCTTCAAGTTTATTTTCCTTAGAAATGTGAATTGCTGGATCAGATAATCAAGCTAAGGAAATTACAGAATTATTGCCACTTTACAGTTAGTTGCACTAGAAATGGCAAAGCAAATAATTGCCTCCCACGAAGTTTAACCAGAATGACTTGGAGGCAAAAGAAACCCAATTTAATATTTGCGACCCTGCAGCCATACATGCTTGGGCTGGGTAAGGGGATGAGGAGAAGGCAAACAGAGGCATCATGCACATTTAGAATTTACTATACACCAAATTAAGCATTTCTTTTACATCTCACTAACCTGCAAGAATCATCAGAAAATAAAGCAAACCAAAAAATGCTATTAAAAGAAAAAAGGTAACAATACAAAGAAAAATACAACCCATTAACATATCTTATTAATAAAAACATAACTATTAGGAAAAAGTTTCAAAACTAGAAAAAAAAAAAACTTAATAAACAGTGTTGAAATATCAAGGAATGAATAAACAACAAAATTAATGGATAAAGTAGGACCAGAATCAACATATAAACACAGAAAACCAATCCTAGTGAAGAAGCTACACAATGAAGCCCCATGATCAACACAATAGTCTAACAATAACTAAGGTTTAATTCACCTCCAATATCCAAAGCCAAATGGGAGATATCATCAGATTGATTAGGTAACAGAATTGTTGGGTCTTTCTCCTCAAAATTCCCCTTAATAACAGCACCACTGAGGTCGAGTTGCGGCCGAGAAGTGGACCTTTGAATTGAACTCCCGACGGGCGGAGCCATCTCTCTCTCTCCTCCTCCTGTCTCAACAATATCCTTTCCAGACTTGTGCTTAATTTCTTCATTTATATTGTCATTTCCAAGAGGTGGGTGGTCTTCTGTTAAACCAGCCATTACTCCCTGCCTCCTTCCTAACCCTAACCCCAACCCCAAATTATTCCTACTGGGTCAAAGTCCACTCTTGGGTTAGTTGTCCTACATTCAAACAAACCAGGAAACTCATAAATTAATATACCTAGAAAATCTATGACAATTCAAATAAAAGAACCGATAGTGACCAATTCAACTTCAACATTCAACCCAAATATAAAATAACCAAGAAACAGCCCAGTCTTTTAACCCAAAATGAAGATTAGAGCATAATTGAGAGACCAATTAAAATTATGAAAAAAAAGGTAAAACTTATTCTTTCACTTTCGACAGAATTCACTGAAGTTTGGTGGAACAAAGGAAATGCAATACAACAGAATTCACTGGAGTTTGGTGGAGCAAAGCAAATGCAATACAACCACCGTACTACTTAGCGTTTGTTGTTTTCCACATCAATCGAACTAAGAAAACGGCTATAAATTACCCTTGTCATTATTGGCACAAAAAGTGAAGTAACCCACATGTTCATGACAAACCCAGATAAAAACAACTGCTAAAATGGGGATTAAAGAAAATTGAGGTTGATGTTGAAGACTATATGTAAAAGGGTCTTCAGTGTTCAGTCAAACTGAACTGATAGAATGAAACAACAAGAATAGCATTAAAAAAAAATGAAAGTGAATTGAGAGAGGGGAAAAAAAAAAGTTTTGTTTGTTGGATTGNAGGGTCTTCAGTGTTCAGTCAAACTGAACTGATAGAATGAAACAACAAGAATAGCATTAAAAAAAAATGAAAGTGAATTGAGAGAGGGGAAAAAAAAAAAGTTTTGTTTGTTGGATTGCTGATGAGTGATTCGAGGAGGATTTTANCTGCTAAAATGGGGATTAAAGAAAATTGAGGTTGATGTTGAAGACTATATGTAAAATGGTCTTCAGTGTTCAGTCAAACTGAACTGATAGAATGAAACAACAAGAATAGCATAAAAAAAAAATGAAAGTGAATTGAGAGAGGGGAAAAAAAAAAGTTTTGTTTGTTGGATTGCTGATGAGTGATTCGAGGAGGATTTTAGGGGAACATGAGAAGACGATGGGGTCGCTAGCCTACTCTCTATCTCTACGGTGTGAGAAATACTGTGGTCCAATGGTGATTGGACACTCGCGATGCGTTCGCGTGAAGGCTACGTTACGTACAGAGCGAGACTGAGAGAGGCGAGTAAATAAGAAATGGAGTTACAGGTCCGCGAATGACGTTGAAGCTGACGACTAGAATTCAAATGCTTACAAAAATAGCCATCTCTATCTTTTTCATTGCGCTAATTCACATATCCACCCCTAAATCTATCTAATATTACACCTACAAGTTAAAAGTTTCCTTCTCAACTTGTAAAATCGTAATTCTCGGTTAAAATTATTCTAATTTTTATTTAATATAATAAAATTTATAAATATCATCTTCTCTATATGATCTTTAATGTCATCAAATAATTTAATCAACACAATATTAGACCAATAAAAAAATTCCTAGAACATTAGACCAATAAAAAATAAAAATAAATATTTTTTTTGTTCATGTCAAATTCATTTTATTCTATATTTTTTTTTGGTCAAGTATGCAAAGAAACTCACACACACACAACACATTACATCAAACAGTTCAAACACCTTATTAGAGGAGAGGGACCCACGAAGTTAAATCATCCAAGCAATTGTTGACCGGAGGAAGATAGAGCAGGTCACTTAAACTCACTCCCTTAGTGCTGAGCAACCGATGTGGGATAAAAATTTATTTATTTTGGTCAAGCTTGCAAAGAAACTCACACACAATATCAAACAATTCAAGCACCTTATTAGAGGAGAGGGACCACAAAGTCAAACCATTTTATTCTATATTAATAATGTGTTGTGTCGAAAATTGAATTACCCAATATTCTTCAAACCAACCCTCCAATAGGAATGCATAACCAAAAGCTTTATGGTGAAGGAATGAAACTCGCCCTCGGTGTCCACAAAACATCATAGTTTGTGGGACCCAACCTCAGCTGACCACCAAACTGTAAAGGTGCAGCGTCCCAGTATGATCCATATACCAAACAAGTTAGGACACAACCCAGCATACAACCTCTTTATCTATATCTGGATCATGACAATGCATACAAGATCAGAAAAAGAACAAAATGACTTCAACCATTAAACAAAGGGAAACAAATCTGCAGAGAGGTCTACCATCTCCATTGCAAAAATGGAGTAATTTGTGAAAAAATATGAACCGGATCCAATATCAACTAGAAACCATCTTCTAAAAGATGAGGTCGAATTGGTGGAGATTGGCTGATTAAGTACGGTCAACAATCCATTGCTTGTTTTGCACCATATAACACAAAAAATCGCAGCCACAAATAAGCCAATTTATACCCAAATTGAAGCTTTATATTTATGCAGGTTGCTTTACATCCAAGAGAAACTAGGGCGTGTTTAGTTTTGTTTTTAAAAATTGTTTTTTGTTCTCAAAACTCTAAAAACAAGGAGATGCTGATTGTTTAGTTTTTTTATTCTCCAATTTTTTGAAAATTTTGAAAAATGAGATGTAACAATAACATGATGTTTCTCATTAGTTTCTAAGGCAAAATAAAATGAAGGAAAAAAACCTATGTTCAAATTAATGAGATTTCCTCTTCGAGTTTTGTTAGAGACAAAAATGAGAGACTGCCTCCACCGCCTCACTCGTTGAATTGCCTCCATTACCTCACAAAAAAAAGAGAATAGATCTGAGAATATACACATTGAATTGCCTCCATTACCTCACAAAAAAAAAAGAGAACAGATCTGAGAATATACACAGATCTGAATAACCTCCACCGCCTCTTTCTCTCTTTTTCTCAACTTCTTCTTCTTTGCCTCACTTTGCGTTTTAGGTGGCTCTGGGGTTCAATGATTGTGTTTTTGGATGGTTTTGGGTAGAGGTGTCAAACGTGTCGGGTTAAACTGTTATGTGTCGGGTTAAACGGGTTACGGGTGAAAAATGTATAAACTCGTACACGACACGTTTAATAAATGGGTGAAAAATCTCAACACGAACACGATCCGTTTAATAAACGGGCAACACGACATGACTCGTTTAACCTATTTAATTTAAAAAAATTATTTTAAAAAATTTTAATACTCCATTTTTTTTATTGTCAATTGCACTTACCTCAAAAAAGAGGAATTTTTAGTCAAATCTCATATTTCATAAAAATAAGACTTGAATGCTTAAAAAGAAAAACAAGAGGTAATTATTTTTTATAGGCAACTCAACCCTTCCCATCTCCCCTCATTTTTCCATGTGAGACAAAAACAAAAGGCATTGATTTATCTTTGTCTTTGAAGTGGTGAAAAGGTTTTTCTTTTTTCCACGCATCTATTAAGAAACGCAGAATCCACACTTTCATCAATTTGAAATGCCCAACAGGCAGGCCGGGTTTTGGTTCAGCATGAGGAGATAAGGACAGAAGTTATGAAATTGTTCTCACACTTATCCATCTTATCAAGCCAACAGCATATAGCAACAGTCCATCAAATATTTCAAAAGTCCTCCAAGCAAAAAAAAAATGATTCAATCTGGTAANCCACATTTCTTCTCTTTTGTCTTTGAACTACTACTTTATTTCTTTTTTCTTATTGATTTCTTTACTTCTTTTTTTCTTGCTAATTTTTTAAAATAATTATTAATTTATTATTATATTAATAATATTTAAACGGATAAACGTGTGATAAACAATTTAACATATCTCACTCAAACACAACTCGTTTATTAAACGTGCTTACCGTGTCAACCAGTTTATCACCAAAACCCGTTAAAATCTCACCCAAACCCGTTTAATTCGTGTCGATTAATCGTATCGTATCAAATTTTGACAGCCCTAATTTTAAGTGGTTCGGTGGTGGTTTTTTCGAGTGGTTCTGGATTGTTTTGGGTGGTCCGATAGTTGTTTTTTTGAAAGGTTGTGAATGGATTTGGGTGGTCCCGTAGTGATTTTTTTGAATGGTTGTGGATTTTTGGGTGATTGTGGATTTTTTGATGGTGAAAGAGAAAGAGAGAGAGAGAGAGAGAGACAGAGTTAACAGAGGTGAAAATATTGGAATATTGTCCAAACAAATTTTATAAATTTTGTTTTTTAAAATTAATTTCAAAAATATATAACCAAACAGATTTTGAAATATGAAAATTTTTAAAAACATTTTCTTAAACTCTTTCCAAAATATTTTTTCAAATACTGTCTTTTTTTTTTTGAGATACAAACCAAACAGCCCCTGGTTATTTAAGTGCAAAGCCATCACACGAGGCGAGAAAAAAAAACCCAGAAGATTAAAAGATCACATTCTTTTGCCAGTTTTCCGATCTTCTCTTTTTTTGTCATCATTATCAAGCATCAGCAGCCTTCTCCAAAGGTGCAGCTTCTGCACGTTTTGCCTCATAATTTTTGACAGCTGCCTTTATTGCATCTTCAGCAAGCATGCTGCAGTGGAGTTTAACTGGTGGGAGGGAGAGATGCTTTGCAATTTCACTGCAAAATCATTGAAAATAACACCAATGTAGGAACATAATTGACCAGAAATGATATGAAGGGCTACTGTCAAATCTCCAAGCTTTCAGAGGGAATAAATAACGGTCTCACACAAAATTCAAGCAGAAAACAAGAACAAAGCAACATATAGGATGAAGCCTTTGATTTCACTCAAGAGGAAACCTTGCGTGTAAGATGGAGAGAAATATTATGATGGCACACAAAAGGTGAGAACACAAACAGGGAATTCAAATCAAGAAATACAAAAGACGACTTGATTATTTTTCACCTTTTCATTCCAATTTTGCATAGCAGACTTGATAATCTGCAACGTTAAAATACCTTTGCCACGTCAAATTTCAGCTCCACGCAACTTAGAACAAGAAATGACAACTAATGAGCAAGGAGGTATCCCCACTGCATCAAACAACTTCTACCCACATTGGGCACCAAATGATATCCGTGTCCACATTGAATATCTAGGGCAGATTATGCTGAAGGGAGTTAAGCCGAGAAATGTGCCCATTGGCACAAGAGATCACTTACATGAGATTCAAAAAATTGAGAAAGGGAGGAGAGAACTACTTACTAGAGTGACGAAGCATTCAAATTCTTAGGGCAAGAGATTTCGCATAACCCTCAGTGACACAACCTCCTCTATAAGATAGAACTCTTGTCTTCCAATTATATTTGCAACTCAAAGCATGAACATAAATAGGGGAAATGAAGGTCATTCTTCTCAAAGGCAAATATTAATTGACATCACCAAATACATAAAACACAACATGACAAACAAAACAACTAGAAGCAAGTACATACCCATGACATGCAAAATATTAACACTAGTAATCANACAAATAGGGGAAATGAAGGTCATTCTTCTCAAAGGCAAATATTAATTGACATCACCAAATACATAAAACACAACATGACAAACCAAACAACTAGAAGCAAGTACATACCCATGACATGCAAAATATTAACACTAGTAATCACAGTTCAATATGAGAAACTAAACTAGTTATATAAACATGTCAAACTAAAAGGGAAAAGGCAGAACTTACGTATTCTTGATAGTTAGAACTTCCTCCATTTGTTTTCCCTTCACCCATTCGGTAGCTGAAAACAAGAAAGCTAATCGTTAGCATTGCTCCAAGTGCAAAAGCCCCTAAGAACTTTAAGCACCATATTTGAAACAATCTCTTAGTTGAATATTTTTCTCAAATAGATAGATAGATACAAAAGCATGCTCGATAGAAACATTTAATGACCAACCAAGCATAGGAGGATCCCATTGCAACAGTGCACTCAAACAGAATATTGTTAAGTTAAAATTTCAAGCNACAAAAGCATGCCCGATAGAAACATTTAATGACCAACCAAGCATAGGAGGATCCCATTGCAACAGTGCANAGATACAAAAGCATGCTCGATAGAAACATTTAATGACCAACCAAGCATAGGAGGATCCCATTGCAACAGTGCACTCAAACAGAATATTGTTAAGTTAAAATTTCAAGCTACCACCATAACGGCCTAAAAGCATCTTAGAAAGTAAAATTTCCAACAGCAATCTGAATCCAACAGCTTAGGATTGTGTGACGCCAATAGTAGCAACTCTATTAGTATGACCCTTTATGAGATAGTCTACTGTAAGAGAAATGTTTTCAGTATCACAATTGCCACTCACCAATATAATACTTCAAAACGATGTCAAATAAAAATACACTGGATTAAAAGCGGACACCAACATATTCGTGATTGCCCTTGCTGAAACATAACCAATCTCCATAAATTTGCAGCTATTTGATTCAAACCAGAACAACTCATGCCAAAATAAAATACATATGTCAAATCACAAAGTCCCCCCCCCCCCCCCC